TATGTTCAGAAAAGTACACATTCCATAAGTGAACAGCTTGATGAATTTTCACAAACTGAACACAGCACCCACATCAAAGATCAGAACTTCACCAGCACCCCATCGTGCCTCCTTCCAGTAGCTTCCACCCCTCAGGGCACCCACTATTGTGACTTCTAACAGCACAGACTTGTTTCAGCAGGCTAGAGTTTATCCTTAGCTCATGCGACAACCTGACTTGTGGCTGCATTTCATTTCTGAGAAGATAAAACTGCCAGGGCTCAGAAGGATTGATTTAGGGCTGGTTTCCATGAGTAGGGTCTGTGTTTTATCATCCCCATGGGCGCTCTCTCTCTCTCTCTCTCTCTCTTCCTCCCTTGCCTCAGCAGTTCTAAAGCCCAGCAGATATCCAGCAGATGCTTCAAGCTTCAGCCACTCAGGAGAAGCCTCACAGAGGTAGGGGGTTAGGGGACTGGGAGGTGGTGTTGGGGGCAGATGTTGGCTCCATCTTGGCTGTAGGATGGTTCTCCTCTCACCAGGGGGTCAATCCCTGAGGTCAGCCTGGTGACTCAGTGCCAGGGGAGGTGATGGGGGATAGAGATCCTTGTCCATGTACTTCTAGAAGTCCTACCATGTGCTCCGGACAGCGGGAGGCCCCTGGAGCAGGATGACTCAGCAGTATCTCCATGCAAAGGAGCTGAGTTTTGCAGCCTGGGAAAACCAGCACGTGGCATTTGGCTGAACTTGCCCCATTCCGGGCAGCCCTCACTGTTTGAAAATCATCACTCCCCACCAACATCAACCCCTGCACCCCTCTCCAGTATTCTGCAGGACCTTCTGTTTACCTGTATGACTGAGCACAGGTGCCAGTTGCTAGCTGGGACCTGTTTGCCTCCTTAAGTGTCCTTTTCCACTCTCGATGTCACTTAGGGCTGACTCTACATCACATGTGCTCATTTCATTAATGAAACACCAAATTTGCCTTTATGCTTACCCCATGCATGTCATGCCTCATTAGCCTCTGCCCTGTGCTTGCTCTGATTGCGCAGGGCAGGAGGAACAGAGCGCTGGCCAGAGCCAGAGCCACTCGTTGGGAAGAAGTGGTTCTGGACTGGTTGATATGGTTCAACAGAAAAGCCCTTCCTCAGGGAACACCATGCCTTGGCTGTGTGCCAGCAGGAATTTCCTTCCACACTGTCTTGATACAATGTCTCTCTCCTTTCCAGAGCCATCTCATTCTTTGCAGGGGGTCTTTAACAAAGAAACAGGGAGTCCTAGAGGGACTTAATTTTTGTTTCCACTAAACCTGGAAGGCCAGTAAAGAGATAGGGCAAGTTACCTCTGACTCTTGGGCTAGAAGGGTCTGGAGAATCACCTAGTGGTTCTCTAACAGAATACACACAGCACTATTTGGGGAATGAGTTAAAAATACAGGTTTTTCAGGGGACCAGGTTTGCTGGTCTGATAGAGCCTGGTGGAACCACTGAGACCATGGCCCCTAGCTGCCCTTCAGATCTGGAACTGAACCCACACCTGTGGCTTCCAGCCAAACAAAAGACAGGCATAGGAGTTGAACATTTTACCTGAGGTAGATACACTTCTTGGAGAGAACAGTCATTGGAGAAAGAAGGGCTGCTTATGCACAGGGAGACAGCTCAGGGGGCAGGAGTGCATGGAGGGATGGACACAGGGAAGAGGTAACTATGGGGAGGAAGTGGGAGGGGAGCTGTTGCACTGGGGTAAATTGTAGTCAATGTCACAATGAGACAAAGTGTATGTGAACTGCTGCATGGAAGGTGAATTTGCTCTGTAAACTTTCACCTAAATCACAATTAAAAAAAAAAAAAAAAAATACAGGTTTTTCAAGTTCTCTCCCTCCTCCACATCCAGGGTAAGGCCCATAAATCTGCATTTTTAGAAACTATTTCAGGTGATTCCAATTTGGTGATTTCAACCCATAGGCTGAAAAAATTACCTAGACAATCCCTCCCTCAGCACACAGACGGGGAAGTGAGACCTACAGGGCTCAAATGACTTATTCAAGGTGCTACAGAATAAGGCCCCAAACCCAAGGTCAGACTCTTTCCATGGCTGCCACAGCACCCATCACCTCTCAGACACAGAGACGACCCAAAGGGCCCTGTGGTCCAGGATTCTACCCATTCATCCATTGTCAGGTCTCTTGACCTGCCCTTTCCTTCCTTCTGATTTCCTTCATCATAAATCAGACATTAAGATTTAGAATTGGGTTTTTACAAAGGCCAATACCTCCCTGACTCCTTCCCATCCTTCCCTCTCCATCCCCTACCATAGTGTTACTTATAGCCATCCAGTCAATCTGTACTCATAGCGACTCTCTAGGACAGAGTAGAAGTGCCCATAGGATTTTCAAGGCTGCATCTTTATAGATGAGCTCTGGCATTTGACTGCTAACCAGAAGATTGGTGGTTCAAACTCACCAGCCACTTCTTGGAAGGAAAGTTGGGCAAGCTACTTCTGCAGAGATACTGCCTCAGAAAGCCAAGGAGAGAGGTCACTATGAGTCGCAATCGACATGAAGGCAGTGAGTTTGGTTTTTCTGTTTTTCTGGTGGTACAGTGCCTAAGACATTTGCCTCCTAACCAGAAAGTTGGAGGTTCAAACCTATCAGCCACTCCACTGAAGGAAGATGGGGCAACTGACTTCTGGAAAAATATACCACCTTGGAAACACAATAAAGGTTGCTATGAGTCGGAATCAACTCAATGGCAGTGAGTTTGGGTTTTTTTTGTTTGTTTGTTTTGTTAATCTTTATAGGGGAGATGTCGTGGCACAATGGTTAAGTGTTAAGTGGTTAAGTAAAAGGTCAGTGGTTTGAACCCACCAAATGCTCCATGGGAGAAAGATGAGGCAGTCTGCTTCCATAAAGATTTACAGCTTTGGAAACCCTAAGGGGCAGTTCTACTCTCTCCTATTGGGTCAGTATGAGTTGAAATCAATTAAACAGCAATGGCTCTGGGGTTGTGTGTGTGTGTGTGTGTGTGTGTATGTGTGTGATCTTTATGGAAGCAGACTACCACACATCTTTCTCTTAGGGAGCAGCTAGTGGGTTTAAACTGCTGACCATTCAGTTAGCAGCCGAGCACTTAAACACTGCACCACCAGTGTTCCTTACCAGTCCTAAAACACAAATTTACTTCCTGTCCTGCCCCTTCCTCTACAGGACAAAATATGAAGAGCCTAGCCTGCCCCTTCATGCTGCTCCTGTTTGACCCTACCTATAGACCATCCCCACCAGCAAAGGAAGATAGGGCAATCTACTTCTGTAGTGATACTGCCTCAGAAACCCAAGGAGGGGTCGCTATGTCAGGCCGACTCGATGGCACATAACAACAACAACAAATAGACCTTCCAGCCCACTCTGAGTACCAAAAACCAATTTGCCATTGAGTCAATTCGGACTCAGGGCGACCCCATGTTTCCAAGCCCCAAGTGATAGCCCTCCTCCTCCAGGAAGCCTTCTTTCACCTCTAGCCCTAGTGCTCTCATCCTCTTCTGAACAATCAGAGCACTGTACAATTTATTTATTGTCTTTATTATTGTTGTTGTTGTTGGTGGTGGTGGTGCCATCAACTCGGCTCTGACTCACCACGACCCTATGTACAACAAAATGAAACACTGCCTTGTCCACCAGTTGTCTGTCAGGTTGTCGTACTGTAGTGGCTTGCATGTCGCTGTGAAGCTGGAGGCTATGTTTTAAATACCAGCAGGGTCACCCATAGTGGATAGGTTTCAGAGGAGCTTCCAGACTAAGACAGACTTGGAAGAAGGAAGAGGCCATCGACTTCTCAAATAATTGCTCAGTGAAAATCTTATGAAGAGCAGCAATGTCTTCATTATTACCTATGATATTCTTTGAACTGTGAGCTTTAAACAATTCCCAGCTACAGACCATAGCCTATTCTTCTAATTACTTGACACTGTGCCATGCACATAATAAGTGCACAGGAATGTTAGTAATGATGGAGCTATGCAATACTAGAGCTGAGGAAACCTCTAGGTAGCTGGTTGGTTAGTTCAGTGACTTTTCTATGCCTTCTGGGCTAGTGGGCACCCAAAGCCTAACTCTGGCAAAGCTAGCCAGATCTTTCTGTGGACTCTGCTTCCAATGTAGTAACCAACTTCCCTGCTATCACCAAGCCACAGCTGTTGCATCCCAAGGCTTTAACTTCTGTGATACATCTCTGCTTGCTGCAAGTACTTTCAGAGCAATGAAGTCAGTTTTACCCTCCTGTTCATCATCATAATCTACCCTGTGCATCTTTTGTGACTCTGCCCCTAAAAAGACATTATTAACATTCCAGTACTTGCCAGTGGCCCCAGGCTCTTGGCCTCCCATTCCTGTTCCAGCCAATGACCAAATTCCCAATTTATTATGACTCCCCAGCTAAGTGGATTTCTAGCTGTTTTCTTGCAGGCCTGCCCAAACTAGAGGCATCATTCTTGACCTAATCTCACAGAAACCCCATCGCAGTCTTGATGCTTCTCTCTTTCTCCACTAAAGACAAGGACTGATCATCACTGTTTAATCCATTGATTGCTCACAAACATGGCAACAATAAGAAATTACAGGACACAATGACAGCTTAAAATCTGGGATCTGAGCCAAACTCTTAGAAAAGAGTCCTTTATTCTTTGTTTACTAAAGAATGAAAGAGGCCCCTTCCTGCTCCAAGGCATCTTCACTTGATAGATGTGTTAGAAACTCTTACAGGACTCTGGAAACCTTAATACTATGACTCATAAGTTCAAGTGCACAGAGCAGGCTCAACTGCTTGGAGAAAGTCTTGTATGCAACCTGTGCCTCATAAGAGGGTGGAGCCTGCAAGGAATCGTCCTTTAGAGAAGCCTTACGACCCTCTTTTAACAATGCAAGAACCACTCTTCTCTACCCCAAAAAATAACCTCCACAGTGCATGAAATTTCTGGCTCTCTCTTTAAACACAGTCATCTCTCAAAAAATATTGAAAATCTCTACTTACCAACATAGGTCCACTTGGATCCTGCAAAGAACAAAACAAAGTAAGTAAGTACAATTGAACAAGTTAGAGAAAGCACCTTCATAAGGTTTTCACTGATAGCTGGTTGACTTTATTTTCAAATGAGTGAGATTGAAAAAGAGGTAGACACCCACAAATTAAAACCTCTATTGAGGCTGTGTCAATATAACTGCTTCCTGGAGCAACTGTGTTCCAGAGGGAGGCTCAAGGATAGTGATATTCATGCAAAGGCTGATGGGTTAAGGAGGACGGAGGTGTTCACACAGAGGCTGATGGTTAGGGAAGACAGTGATGTTCATGCAAAAGCTCATTGGTTAGGAAGGTCCTTGGGTGGTACAGACAGCCCACACTTAGCTAGTAACCCAAAGGTTGCCTGTTCAAACCCACCCCATGGCACCACCTGGTGAGTGGCTTCTGTAAAGGTTACAGCCAACTCATCTTTGGAGCAAGTCTCTCCAAATGAATTACACACACAAACAAATGCCTCAACAAAAAACTCATGGGTTAGGGAGCATGGTGATGATTGATGTTCAGGCAGAGATGGGTTAGGGAGGATAATGGGGTTCACTCAGGGGTAAAGGGTTAGGGAGGGGGCTTCTCACATAGAAGCCATTAGAAGACATTTTAGAGAAGCCAGACTTTATTAATTGAAAAGGTAATAAATTCACATGGCTCAAAACCCTGAAGCTGTCAAAGGATATACAGTGAAATCTGCTCCTTCCACCTTGTCTCCTTGCTTCCCATTCAAGGCAACTAATTTCATCAGTTTATTGCAAGCCCTTTCACAGTATCATTACGCACACACATATATATTTATATTCTTCCCTCCTTTTCACACAATCATTAGCATGCTAGAAACACTGTTCCCTACCTTGCTTTTTTCGACTTGACAGCATACCCTAAAGAACAGTTCACATCAGTAGAAAGGAGAAAACTAATCTCAAAAGGGAAGTGTTTGAGGAGTAGCCAGCTCCTTTAGAATTTCAGGAGAGGTAGGAGAGTGTAGAAGACATTCTGTCAGGAATATAAGAAAGTCACCTACCACCTCCCCTTCTATACCCTCCAAACATAAAGGTCCTTACTTCCTCCATCAAGAACGTATTTTTAAAGTTATCCCAGAGCTTTGCTCTCCCTATCTTGCCTGCCCACCTCCCTCTTTACCTTCAGAAAGGTCCCTGAATTGAGACCCATCCTTTGGCACACATTCAGCTCCTAAATCCCTCCCGGGAATCAGTGTGAAGTAAAACTGACTCATTGAAGCAATCTAGTCACTTATCTCAACTGGGTGTTCCCTACTCAATGCAACGGTAGTTTTTAAAAGCTAAACTTAAAAGCTAACCTAGGACTTAGCTTCCACACCCCACCCATCCCCACCAGCTGGTTTAATACCATTTTTAAGGTACTCCGGTGGTGCAGTGCCTAAGGCATTTGACTGCTAATCAGAAGGCTGGTGGTTCAAATCCAAATCCACCAGCCACTTGAGGAAAGAAGATGGGCCAATCTACTTCTGTAAAGATTTACTGCCTTGGAAACCCAGTGGGGGTCACTATGAGTCAGAATCAATCAACTTGATGGCAGTGAGTTTGGTTTATCAATTAGTTTGTAACAGTTAAGCATCCAACTGCTAACCAATAGGTTGGCAGTTCAAACCCACCCAGCAGCTCCAGGGAAGAAAGACCTGTTGATCTACTCCTGTAAAGATTACAGCCCAGAAAACCCTATGGGGCAGTTCTACTACGTCACATGGGGTCACTGTGAGTCAGAATCAACTTGACAGCACCCAACAACCTCATTTTGTTGTTGTTCTGCTTAATTTCTTTGCCTCCATGTTTTTACTTAATTTCATTTTTAATTGTCTTTTTATCAAAGTTATACCTGCTTATGGTTTCAAGAGTTAGATGATTCTACAAAACTTTTTATGAAAAAACAAAAACAAAACCCAGCAGTCCCCTAACACTTATCTACCCATTTTCCTACTCTCTAGGGCAAACATTTTAACCCTTTTTAAATGCTTCTTTTAGCATTATCTCTGTATCTCTATAAAACATGCTTGTATTGCTCCTTCTTGATTTGTAGGCTCAGGTATTGTTTATTGAAGGAGGTCTGTGGCATAGTGCCTAAGCCATTTGACTGCTAACCAGAAAGCTGGTGGTTCAAAGCCAGCAGCCACTCCTCAGAAGGAAGGTTGCACAACCTACTTCCGTAGTGATACTGCCTTGGAAACCCAAGGAGGGGTCGCTATGAGTCGGATCTGACTCCACAACAGTGAGTCTGTTTTTTTTTTTTTAATTGTTTATTGACATCCCACTCTGGAAGAGGAGATTTTAGGCCTTTTTCACACACCCAAACCCCACTGCCTTACTTTGTAAGTGAAGAAACAGAAGCCCACTGAAGTGCAGTGACCTGCCCAAGATCATGTGACTGCTAAGGGTCAAAGCAGAGTCTCTCCACATTTACCATTATTTGCTGTAAACTGGGGGAATCTTTCTAGCTCCTTCTAAATTTTGGGGGCTGGGTTATTTCCAGACTCCAATCTGATGAGTTCCATAGACCTTTTCCCCACAAAAATGCCCAAAAGCCTAGACACACAAAACTTCATGTATAATTAATTTTAGAAGGTCTACAGATTGCCTGAAACTTGCTATACATCCCAAGGGTATTAATAGTCCTAAGGTTAACCTCCCCTGAAATAGCAATTGGATGAAGATATTCAGAACCATGGAGAAATCAACTTTTGTGTTGACCTCTCAAGTTTACTACCATCCCAGTACTTTAACTCAAATAACAGTGAAAAAGAACTTAAGAAAGCATTGCCTTGGAACCAAGTTACTCAAGATATCAAATCTCTTTTCTTGATATTTCCTTTCAGTGTCTTGTTTGTGGGATTCACTACTGAAGTACAATTGTGGCTTCCAGAGACATGTGAAGCTGGATTACTGCCACTTAGTCAGGAGAGCACTAAGAGCCCCAGGATGTAAAATTTCACAAGTGACAGGAATGTCATCTTCACCTCTTCCCTGGAAGGCACAGGCCACTCCACTGATCCCGAGGCTACCATCAAAACTCCTGCTGCCTTCTGCGCCCTCCTGCCTTGGCCCAAAATTTGAATTGTCAGCCCCCAAATCAATCTATAGCCTTAATATTCTACATCTTCTGCTATCTTGCCCCAAACTTTCCAAGCTGAGGTTTTCTCTATGATTACAGCTCTCATCCTGGATAAGGCATCAGCATCATACTTTTAAAGCTCAGGGACAAATGTTAGCTAGTGACCATCTGGGACCTTAAAGCTTCAGGTGGTCACACAAGATTGAGGATCTGTTCCTGAAAAGGAGCAGCAACCAAAGCAAGTTTTCTTGCCCTCCTTTCTCTGAGCAAGCCTGCTTAGTCTTCAAGACTTGGTGCTCTGAGTACAACACTGCCTGGAGGGGTTGAGGAGGTGGAGAGGAGGGGTGAAGCAGTCCTGTAAAAGGAAGTGAGGATACTCTGAGTCAGGAGGGTTCATTGGGTAAAGATGTTGTCAGCTTAGAACGGACTTCAGCAAGCCTTTCAGGCACTTGTGCTGTATTTTAAAATGGCACATCCTGGTTTCCAGCCTGGAGCTTAGAGGTAGCAGTCTCAACAGGATTAAATTGACTACTACTTTCAGGAGAGGAAATGTTCTCTTCCCATACAAGGTCATCTACTCTACCTGGGAGACCAGCTGGCTAATGCTTGTTAGAACCTGTAGCCCCAGGTTCACACTGGGCAGTCCATCTGGGAGTCCACTGAAGAAATTTACAAAGATTCAGGTCAGGGGTTCAGAGCCCTGCCTCTTCCTGTCCTGATGCTAGAACCTTCCCGAGTACCCGTCATCTCCACACTAGGTTCAGGCTGGGCAAGCTCTGCATTAGAATCCCATCCTAAACAGCCACCCAAAGACCAAAACTAAACCTACTACCATGAGTGGATTCTGACTCATACCAGCCCCCATTAGGTTTCCATGGCTGTAAATCTTCACAGAAGTAGATTGCCTCATTTCCCTCCTGCTGAGTAGCTGGTGGGTTTGAACCACTGGCCTTCTGGTTAGCAGCCAAACAGCCACAGCAACTAAAAATTCCAAGGTTTTTCCAGAACATCCTTGATTTCACCTCATTATGCTCCCTCCCTCCATGACCCCAGACATTTTTCTTTGACACTCACCTGACCACACTTTGGCCCCACTTCTCAGCTTAACCCCATTCCACCCCCAATCTTAAATTAATACGGGCATTCTACACCTTGCTGAGTTTTGCTTTGACTTTGTCCCCTGAGGCAGTTAAAAAGCCAAGAAACTGGCATAAGAAATAACAGAATAAAAATTGTGTTCTATTCTTAGGATCCAGCAGTAGGCAGCTACCAGTACAAATTAAAATGGATTCCCTGACTGCCTGTCCCCTCTATTTCCCTAGAAGATTTTCCCCTTCCTTATTTTGAAGGAATAGGAGGGAAGAAGGGCAAAGGAGGAAGGAAAGAAAGGAGAGTGGAGGAAGAAGGGGTAGGAAGAGGGGACAAAAGGAGGCAGTGGAGGAAGAAGAGGAGATGGAATGGAGGACTCTGAGGGCAGTGGAGGAGGGGAAAAGGGAGAAAAAGAGACGGGGGAAGGGCAGAGAGGCGGGAAAATTAGACGGAAAAGAAGGGAGGAGGGGCTGCCCCCAGAGTGAGGGGAGTAAAGGGCTTGCAGGAAAGGGGGCCAATGAATGGCTTCTTCTCTCTTTTGTTTCGGGGCAGCTTGAAACTAAAAAGATTTCCAGTGAAACTGCAGTCACCGTTTTCTAGAGGAGAGGGGAATACATGTCAAAGTTTGCGGTTTTAAAAATAAATTTTAACTTTCATGTAACTCCTTTCTCCCACCTACAGTCTGTTTCTCCTCAACCAGATGTGGGAGAAAATATCAAGCACATCATGCCAACCAGTGGGTTAGAATTTAATTAAGAAAAGTCATAAAGCTAATCACAGCCAAGCTCCCCTGCTTCCCCAGCCCTTCCTCTGGGGCACAATGACCTCCCAGAAAGAAAGGAGGCTCAGCGTTTTTAAGACGCTGATCAGGACCAATTTCCTAACACCACTGCCCAGCCAGGAAGAATTGATTTCCAGCCATTATAGGCACTTTTGATTCCTCTTTAAATGTCTCAACCTAATCTGGGTCCTGAAATCAATCCACAAATGTTAGAGCTTCACAGCCCCCAAAAACGTCTTTACAACTGAGGGCAAACCCTGTGAAGGGCAAGAGCCACCAACCATCATTCAGGAAGTTTCCAGAAAAGTCACCATCTACTCCTCCCATAAAGGTGCTTGCCCAGTTGTTGGAAAGACAGGCAAACCCCTGGCACCCTTCTCTTGTTCCAAAAGATTAACTAACCTGACCCTTGGCCGATCACCCTAACTGCCTGCTCCAACCTGAGCCCACAGCTCAGGGCCACCCACACCCACATGCTCCACACCTCCCACCCAACTCGGCACCCTCAGCCTCCAGCCCTTGGGGTTAAGGGCACTAATTATACTTAGAAATAAAGGGTGTGTGTTTGTGTGCCCAAGCACATGTACGTTCAGAGCCGTACAGCCCTTCTGGAGAAAAAACAATGATTAAAGATGGGATGCATCATCCTCAGATTTGGAAGTAAAACTTAATGACAAAAAAGTTTCACCCCCAAAGAAAAGCACCCACCACTGTCTGGCGTTCTGCCTGCGGAGACTGCAAACTCCTTCTGGTGGTCGCACATCAGAACGTCAGTCAGTTCTCTCTCAGACGCACGTGGATCTGGGACAGAATAATTTAAATCTCGGTTCTTTTTCTCCTCTCGGGTCACCAAATTCCAAGGCCACCCCCTCCTGAGCTGGGAGTGCTCAGAGAACAAACGAATTAATTTTAACACCAAACAACCAGGCACGAATAGAAAGACAACCTGCCTCCTCCAAACCGCACCGGGACGTGCGTTCCAAAAGGAGAGAAAGCAGCCTTTCTAAAAAACGTGTTGTTTGATCTAATGCATGCTCTTCCCTGCACCCCAGGAATGATTTCAATAAGTCTTTCAAGAGTCCCGCAGGCAATCTCTCCGTCCACGTGTGGCTGAGTTCTCGGACTGTTAGCAAAGAAAGAGGCAGAAACTTTACCGTTCAGTGGGGCTGGGCTACAAGGCTGTTCCTTTAAGATCACAAGCAGCAGGACAGTCGCCGCGTGCAGGCTGCGGTGCTGCATCTTCCGCAAGCTGGGAACCAGCCAGGCACCGGCTGCCCCGCGGCTCCCGCTCGTTCTAACTCTGGGGTCGCGTAGCACTGGAGGGGGCGGAGCGCGCATCTGGACCGCGTTCGCGCAGCCCGACGCCTTGGCGAGCACGTCGGCGCTTCAGGCTCCGGACTCACCGCGGCTACTTTTATTGAGAGTCTCAGCCCCAAACAAATGATGTCATCATGCGGGAGGTGGGGGTGGGGGTGAAGAACGCCCAGCCTACCAGAGGGCTGACGCCCCAGTTCTAAGGTGAGTTGTAGCCCAGACTCTCAGCTCCCCCGGGGCAGTGCCCAGTTCTCGGTGGGAGCAGCAGGCAGACTAGGGTGAGAGCCGCTTACCTCAGCCCTATCGGGAGGGGCGGCTCTAGGGATTTGCTTCCGTGGCCCCAGTTTGGTCGGTCGGTCGCTGCTGCTACTCAGTAGCCCCGTAAAGCAAAATGCCATTTCGGTAAGAGTCTCCTTCAGGACCCCAATCCAGTGCCTGCCTGGACTGGACACAGGTTAGGGATTGAGTGGCTGCATTCAAATCCAGAATGTCTGTGGATTGTGTGGTGCGTCCTGATAAGGTTCTTATCTAGGAAGTTCAGACACAAATCAATTGAGTGTTGGCAAATAGCAAGGAGTGGTGGTGTAAGTGCACAACTTTACTGAGCGCTTAGAATCTCACCCAGTAACAAATAAATAGACAAAACTCATTCTAGTTCGTAGAAATCCATACTCGCTAGGAACCTGGATGGCAGTGGTGGAGAGGATCCCTTCTCTGGGATTGTAGTGGGAAAAAGGGACTTTTGTGCATTGATTGAGCACCTACCATATGCTAGGCACTGTACTAGACATTTTGCATCTTGATCAGATCTAAGTTCTGTTTCCAGTGTATTTTATTGTCACCCGTTGCTCACTTCTGTCCACTTTGTTTTCCACAATACCTTATCCTTTAAATTTGTGCAGGCATACATCTAGTCACAGACTTGGGGTTCTGATTCCCATTGTATTTAGTGGATGCCTTGTTAAATCAAAGGTCTTATTGACTTACTGCCCTTGGTAATTCCTAAGTCTTTCTGCTACTGTTACTGCCTCTATTTCCACCACCAATGTCATTTGTGCATCTGGTTTCACTGGGGCCTCTGAGGGTCTCTGTGCTGTTTACTGTGCTGGACTCAGTGTCCTTCCTGCCTGGTAACCCTGTACCTTACAAATATTGCTCAGACCATGTGGTTGACAGAAGAGTGCCCACCCCAGCCGTGGTTCATGACCCTTGTTTTGTGACCTGGCCCATCACACCCTCTTTCTCTTGGTCACAGTGGCCAGACCATCCCTCACTTCTCTTTGGTCAGTCTCAGCTCTCAGCCTAAATGGACTTTTGGGCTGACCTTATCTGGCTAGTAAAGCCACTTGTCAGACAGTCATGGTTTTGGAGAAGAGCAGCTTCTCTGCTGAGAGCCAGCAGAAAGCAGATGCCACATACAGTTCAAAGTGTATGACTGTTCTGTCTCTGTCAGCTCAGCTATTGTTAGAGCTAATAAAGGGCTTTAAAGTCTTTTTAAGGAAGTAGTTACAAAGTGTTCTGGAATTCCGATTCTTGGCCATGTCATTCATAATTTGTTATGATGCACACAGTTGAATGACTTTGCATAATCAATAAAACACAGGTAAACATCTTTTTGGTATTCTCTGCTTTCATGCAAGATCCATCTGACATCAGCAGACATCATTCTACATCCTCTTCTTAATTGAGATTGAATTTCTGGTAGTTCCCTGTTGATGTACTGTTGCAACCATTTTTTAATTATCTTCAGCAAAATTTTACTTGCGTGTGATATTAATGGTAGTGTTTGATAAAGTCCATGTTCCATTGGATCACCTTTCTTTGGAATGGGCACAAATATGGATCTCTTACAGTCAGTTGGCCAGGTAGCTGTCTTCCACATTTCTTGGCATAGGTAAATGCCAAGCATTTACATTTGTTTCCAGCATTACATTTGTTTGCTGAAACATCTCAATGGGTACTCCATCAATTTCTAGAGCATTGTTTTCTGCTAATGCCTTCAGTGCAGCCTGGACTTCTTCCTTCTACTGTTGGTTCTTGATCACATGTTACCTCTTGAAATGGTTGAACGTTGACCAGTTCTTTTTGGTATAGTGACTATGTGTATTCCTTTCATCTTCTTTTGATGTTTCCTGCATCATTCAATGTTTAGCCCATAGAATCCTTCAATATTTCAACTTGAGGCTTCAATTTTTCTTCAATTCTTTTAGTTTGAGAAATACCAAGTGTGGTCTTCCCTTTGGTTTTGTAACTCCAGGTCTTTGCACATTTCATTGTCTTCTTGAGCTTCCCTTTGAAATCTTCTGTTCAGCTCTTTTACTTCATCATTTCTTCCATTCATTTAGCTACTCTGTGTTCGAGAGCAAGAAGAAGCATTGATGCATTTGAATTATGATATTGGTGTGTACTTTTGACATGTTATCAGGAGAGATCAGTCCCTGTAGAAGGACATCATGCTGGGAAAAGTAGAGCGTCAGTGAAAAAGAGGAAGACCCTCAAGGAGATAGATTGATACAGTGGCTGCAACAATGGGTTCAAACGTAGCAATGATTGTGAGAATGGTACAGGACTGGGCAGTGTTTCATTCTGTGTGCACAGAGTCTCTATTCTATGAGTTGAAATCAACTTGATGGCACCTAACAACAATAGTTAGAAACACAGTCTTGTTACAAGCACTTCCAGGCCACAGTAGGCTTGCATACACACACTCACTCCTGTTGAGTCGGATCAAACTCATAGCGACTCCTCCTTGGGTTTCCAAGTCGGTGTCACTATGGAAATAGATTGCCCAATCTTCGTTCTGAGGAGTGGCTGGCAAGCTTGAACTGTCAGCCTTCTGAATAGCAGTCAAAATGCCTTAGGCACTATGCCACCAGAGCTCCTACAGTAGTCTTAGGAATGACCTTTTCTGCCTGTAGCTCCTGATCCAGAACCGTGAGTGAGCTCCAGAACAGTGTGTGTAAGACATTGATGTCTTTGATTTGTCATCTAAGGCAGTCTGCTTAGCAGATAGAATGTACAAGGGGAACAGCAGAGCTTAGCTAAGAACCACTGTGAGTTCATAGATGCAAAGCTGAACGAGACGGGTGAAATCATTTGCCCCAGATCTCACCACTAACGTAAACTGGGCCATTCACACATATCTTGTTACTCCCACTCAGGAGTTTTCTCATTGAGTCTGACTAAACTTTAAATTCAATTTCTCCTTAAACGTGTACCTCTAAGTATTCTCCAGGGACTCCCAGAGATGTGGAGGCATAAAACAAAAGGGGAGAGTGGATATCATAGGACAATAAAGCTAGATTTTGAACCGAATTTGATGGGGAGAAAGAGAAGGTTGAGATGTTTAGTGCATGTTTAGATTGGAGACCTGGTTAATTAGTAAGGAATCGATAGCGATTAAAAGAGAATTGAGAATATAAACTGAGATCCAATTGCCCTTAGTGCTTAGTGCCTTCCTTTCTTTTCTTTTTCTTTGTTTCTAATTCTTAAGGGATCTGAGGGGGAAGAGGGGGGAAGCAAACAGAAAGGAAAAGAGTGACCAGACCTCAAAAGAGCAATCTTTAAGCTGGATGTCAAGAGGCCACCAACAAACAGCACAAACCTAACCTGCTTAAGTTCCGACTGTGGGAACCCTTTCCAGCCAGAGGCTTCCTGAGGCTTGTGTCAATTGACATATAAAGACTTGCTTTGCCACCTTCAGATTGAGGCTGGTGTCAGCCAACCAGTTACCCCATTACTCAATGGTTAGGGTGGAAAGTGGACCTTCTGTACTGGAAATGTGGCAGCAGGCCACCAAATGGCACATCCAGACAGAAGGTTCCAGGGAGCACTGCCCCTTTAAAACGTCACATCTGAATAGACTTGAGGGCAAGCTGATGAGTCAAAGGGCACAGGAGTATGGAGGAAGGAATGCAGGGTTTGGTGTTGGGAAATCTGGGTTGAACTGCCTGCCACACCACTTATTCATTGGATAATCTCTATGAGGACAGCCTCTCAGAACTTTACTTTCCTCATCTGTAAAGTGGCGATGGTAATCCCAGCTGGTCCCTGGACCATTAACATAGTTATATGGCTGGAATGGGATAAAGCAAGTGGAAACTTTTTTGTTTGTTTGTTCATTTATTCATTTATCCTCTATGTGTCAAGCACTGTGCTAGGCATGATCCCCACCCTGGGAGAGGTCATGAATAATTTCATGAAAGCAATTGCAATAAGTGCAATGGAAGGTTGGTATATAACAGTAGGAGCTCACTTTCAGGGTCCTAGGATGGTATGGGAAGATATTAAGCCCTAGCAATGACCTTTGTAAGGATTAGATTCTGTGATTTCATAAAACCTTTGAAGCACAGCTAATACCCAAGCTCTTCTTTCCTGAAGCTGGTGTTTGTTATTTGGTGGTATTTGCCTTTGACATAAACTAATCATTGGCCTTAAGGGTTTGGGCATAGAGAATTTTGGTTTTTAAGGTAAGAATTAACTCTTCATTGGTGTCATTCAGTTGGACTGGGGGAAGAGAATGAGTATGGATTGAATACCTACTATTTGCCTGGCACTATGCTGGGCACTTTATCCTTTCAGTAACCTTATGAGGATAGTGTAATGATTACCATTCTATAGAGGAGGAATCTGAGACTTTGAGAAGTTAAATCTTTTTCTTATCCAAGTTTATGAATCTATGGATTGATGGAGAATGAATTCTCAACCCAAACAATTCTCCATCACCAAGGCCCAGGCAGCCATTTTCCACTGCTGTCCTAACAAATGCTTCAAAAGGGGCCATTTTATATATGAATCCCTCTGGGATGTGGATTCTGCTATTTTCTAGATGCTGTGATTGCTTGTTAGTTGATCAGAGGAATAGAGTGCCAATTTTGGCAATCAAATCATGCTCAGCATAGGGCATGGCTATGTCCTTCTCCCCA